CAAAGCAGATAAATAAAATATTGTTGATCATTCGTGAGCTTGACAATTTCTTAGAATTATTTATAGTACACTACTTGCAAATTAAAGTAATAACATTATCAACATAGCTTACATTATGTGGAGAAATTACAAAACTAGTTTAATTACCCTAACCAAGTTTTGATGATCGAAGTAATGACATAACATGAGTTTTATTTCCCTCAGTTCATGGTGATATATGTTTTAGTTATGTCAATTCGTATGTTATTTGTAATGCTTTTTTTCTTTTGTTTTGTCCTTTTGTTTTATTTCTTATTATACCCCAATATCATGTACACGGACGGAGCAGCATTTAGTGTTGTTGTCTCTGTCGCTCGCAACTCTGTACTCTCAGCCGTGAAACTGTGTAAATACATTTAACTTTTTTTCACAAAATCCTTGAAACTATGTAAATACATTGTGACGTATAATTTTCTTTCGTTTGTTTTTCTCGTTTCTTTTATTTCGTAGTATACCTCAATATCATACACACGACTGGAGCAGCATCTAATGTTGTTCTCCCATCCGCTCACAACGGTGATCATAAAACTATGTAAATACATATAAATTTTTGCCACAAATTCAATGTAACATCTAGCTAAGAGGCGATGATTGAGAAGACGATCCTATCACGGATATGGTGTTACATGACTTAGAGATGAAATTCTAAAATTTTCATTCCAATTAACAAGAGCAAAGTAAAGCTGCATTCTGGTATGAATTTTGGCTCACCATGACGACTACAAGAGGAAATCTCGAAGGCCCCGAAGCAGTTCATTTCAACGCTCGGTTGAAATGAAACGCGCGAGAGGTTACGCGCGCAAGTATAAGGAGCTTGCGTGACTTCCTTATCACGCCTGTTTCTTTCTTTCTTGCTGGGTAGCTGCTTCATAGAGTCATAGGCTCAACATTTCGGGTCAGTTGTGGTCACATCCTTGAAAGCTAACAATTAATAACGGTAAAAAGACTGAGTGGAGTCCATATCGGTCTCGTGATTAACAAATCGGACTCCTGCTTTGCGGTCGCCCGATTTTGTTAATCATTCAGGTGTTTACAGACAGAATTGGACGACACGAGGGTCTGTTACCAGTCAATCAAAACTACGACAAAATTTGAGAAAAAAACTAGACGTCGGTTATAAGTTTTCAGAACCTGAATCGAGCAACTGAGTAAAAACAACCTGACTGAGCAAAATTTTAAAACGGAAATAGTGATTGCATTTAATATGGAAAAGAGACAAGAGAAGGTAGCCATAATAAAGGTTTCTTACTCATACTTAACCTCTATTTCTTTCCGCAGACGAAACGCAGATAGGTATAAGTTTTTTTTTTAAATTTTGCTGTTTTCTTCCATTGAAAATAGTGCAATTCCCGATATCACCATGGCAAAGTTTGGGTTATCGTTCTCTGGAGGCGGAGTCCGGTCAGCGGCATTCTGTTCAGGAGTGTTGCGCAGACTGCTGCAGAAGGAGGTGCGAATAGACTATCTGAGTTGCGTGTCTGGGGGCGGTTACACAGGCTCTGCGTACGTCGACTGGAAATACAGGCATGATAAGAAAGATGACAAGAAATGGCATCAGAATTTCTTTAATCACATGAGGGAAAATGTCGGCTTAGTTTGCAGTTTTCAAAATCCCTGCCAAGGTATTTTCGACTGCGTGATCTTTTGTGCTCTAGCATTATTCATCTCTGTCATCGCGCCTTTCATAATTTGGGGATCATTCGCACATCCACTGGCCTATATTATCGATTACCTCTTCGGCAGAATTTTGAGGGGTGGCAGCCGTCCGTGTCCAGAAGAGGTCAGGTTGAATCCAAACACAACCCTGGACGATTGCCTGCAGAATCGTAAGAATGCGGACAAAATTTACGATCGCGTTCTACTCTTCTTCGTGCCTGCTCTCCTCGCTTTCATATTCTACGTCTTGAAAAGACGCGTCAAAAGAGGAGAAGGTCATTTCAATTGGCTTTCGCTCTTCAGTTTAATGATGTTTGGAATTCTGTTTTTTCCCTGGTTTTTAAACATTTCCCTGCGACTTGTACCAGACGTTTTGAAAGGGTTGCTCCTTGTGCCAATGATCATTTTTTGGTTTTTATTTCCTGGCCTGCGTGACAATGCATCACTGGTATTCGTCGTGTATCTCTACTCGTTTGTCATCCACTTCAGAGTGTATCGTATAAATGCCTTTGGCATCCTCTACGATGATCGCATCTTTGATCAAGCATTTGCAGCATCTATACTTCTAATGTGGGTTGCCCCTTTGGTTATAGCGATACAACAAAGCATTGTTCATATTTATGTCAGGTGAGGATAAGTGAGCTTAATTTTTCAATGCTGTTCGTATCTCTACTGTCACGGGGTTGTGTGCGCGGTTAATTCAA